TCTTCATCTCAAACATGTATGTTACTCCTGGCTGTTTCGCCTCGGATCTATCTGATTTTGCCGATGAATTCACAGCATTCGCTGTAACACATCTCGAAAACTCTTTATCAGTTGTCACAGGAGATTTCAATATCTGCGATTTTTCTTTTCTTGAATCATTAGGTCATGTCAATATTGTTAAATTTCCAACTCGACTTGATAAAACACTGGATCTAGTATTTATTAATGATGCGGAAATATATGAAGCACGCAGACGTGCTCCTATAATGAACTCTGATTATTGTATTATTCGGATATTACCTAAGATATATAGCAGATATCACTCAAATATCCTCTCAAATCTGTTCAGAAAAACACAACAAAGATGTTACTCACAAGAAAATATGCTCAAACTAAGACGTATGTTAAATGACAAAAACTGGGATCTTTTCACTGAACATACACTGGATGATACTATTTCCCATCTGACTGACTATCTTAAATTCTGCCTTGATGTATGCTGTCCAAAACAGATACTTTTCAAAAGAATGGACCGTTTCTCTTCCCGTCATCTCAAAAAGCTTCGAAGAGAAAAAGAGATCGTACAAGACTAAGGATAAATCTGGTCTTAGGAGGATAAACATCCAAATTAAATCCGAAATCACTAGGCTAAACAATATTTATAATCAAAGAATTTTGTCATGTAAGACTCTAGGGAATATGTGGAAGCTTTTCAGAGAAATTACAGGTTGTGGTAAGCATAGTACTTATGCCCCCTCTATTGACGTGAATACCCTTAATAGATCTTTTATCCGCCCTCCTAATGCACCCTTTACTATCAATGTAACAAATAACATGACCAGTGACTTTCATAGTTTTAAAACTTCTGATGTTCTCAAATGTTTAAAATCTCTTAAACCTTCCCAGAGTCTAGGCCCTGATGGTATACCTGCCAGTGTCCTAAGGAAATGTGCTGATATTTTAAGTAACCCACTTACAAACATTTTCAATACTTCTTTTTCTAATAATGTTGTACCTTCTCTGTGGAAAGATATTAAAATCATCCCTGTACCCAAGTCAGGTTCTGTTAATAGTGTTAAGTTTAGACCTATCGCTATGACCTCTCTTTTTTTGAAACTAATGGAGAAATTATTGTTACTAAAACTTGTTCCCTCCCTAAGATTCTCAAATGATCCAAAGCAGTTTGCTTACAAACAGGGTAGAATTGTGGTGAGAGCTGGCTGCTAGCCAAAGTTGATAGACAGTAATTGACGTCAGTGTTTATGTCCCCAATATTGGTGGTGAGAAAATGAGAACAAAGGCTTTGCGTAGGCGGATACAGTTAGAATATAGATGATCTGACACAGCCACAAAGAGATGCAAGGTTAACTTTCTGTGAGAAACAACCAATCAACAGACTGTATTTCTACTAACAATAATCTACAATAATGTACATTAAAATCTATAAATATGTGTTGATTTTCCTTAATAAACGATCTGTTGCCTGGCCCTTGTCTTCTGTTGTTGCAGAAGTACTTTATACGCTGCGGCTCTGTTTCATCACAACATTGTATCCTCCTTAGACAAAGAGGCCAACTATGTCCGTTGTACATTCCTTGATTATACATCTGCTTTCGACTCTGTGCCTAGAGGCCTTTTATTAAACAAGCTTAGCCTTACACAAACTAAATCCTGGGCTATCAACTGGCTGCACTCTTACTTCTCTAATAGGATGCAGTACAGGGTATATAATGGTGTATCTTCCTCTCCTTTGCTTACTGAAGCTGGAGTTCCTCAGGGTGCTGTTCTCTCTCCGTTTATCTTTTCCTTCTTCTTACATGACTTACCTCTTTCAGACGAAATCAACTTCGTCAAATATGCAGATGACCTGACTGTTTCGCTTCCCGTTAAGTCTCAGTCAGACTGTTCCAAATTAAATAGCTTCCTGTCGGACATCAGTCAGTGGTCTAAACTAAATGGCCTCATGCTGAATCCCTCAAAATGCCAGACTATTGACTTCTCCCTTAGGCATAAACGAGATCTACAAACACTAGCAAGCACTCATGAAGCTTGTTGCGTTGAGGGGAATAAAATTGAAACTAAGTCTAATGCAAAATACCTCGGTCTAGTTCAATCTTCCAACCTTACTTGGACATCTCATATCCTAACGATTTCTCAGAAAGTGTTCTGTCTAACCTACTACATTAAGAAACTTAGACAATCCGGAATCAACCAACCAACCTCTACTTTCCCAATTTATCAACTCTCGTATCTTACCTATTCTACTTTACTGCTCCCCGTTAGTCTTTCCTGGGCTACTGAAAAAGGACTATACCATCCTGAGAAGGATGTTGAAGATAGTTAGTAGGACTAGTGGTGTAAAACTCAGTCAGCTCATCACTGCATTAGTTGAAAAGCATCTGAATACATGCGAAAAATAGTCTAAAACCATACTCTCCGACCCCCAAACCCCCTCTATTCCCAACTCTCTCCTTGTATCTCATCAAGTAGAACCAGAAATCAGTATAAAATAATATATGCTCGCACAACCAAGTACAGGAACCCAACGACACCATATTTGGCCCGTGTTCTAAGCGAAAGAGACAATGTTAAGCGCGAAACCTATGACTTGCTTTGTTGTTAATAACACAATTTATGGCTCTTTTATTTCTCTCTTATTTTGTATTCTATAGTGAACTCCTTCTTAAACATACTTAGCTACCTAAGTTATTAACATTGGCTTACCTTTTTGTACTTTACTCTATTCCTTTTTATGTATCTCCTGGTTCCGACTATATTAGCACTATGAGTATTACAAAACTGTCCTGCCACTAACTATCATGTAATTATTAGTTTTTGTGGTTGTTGTTGTTTTTTTTGTTCAGCAATATTAACTGACAATCTTGGTTGAGAAAGCCATTTTCACCATGTTAAAATTTTGTATTATGCAGGATTACTCACACTACCACTACAAACACTGCATTAAACCTGACAATAAAAAAACAACCCTGAATTGTTATTTTTATGATTGTTTCAACCAAATTAACTGATCATCTTGGCGATAAACATTCTTAAACATCATTACATAACTTCTTGTATGACTATAGCTTTACTGTCACCATGCACGATGATATCATAGCTTCCACTACCCAATACTGAGATATTATTTTATGTTATTTATTTTCCTTTCTACTTCTTGGTATTTTTTCGCATATTAAAAAAATTATTTTTGTTTTTTGTCTTTATATTTACTTTTTGTGAAACTCCTTTAAATATTTGATAAAATTAGATGCAAATATTGAAGATATGTGCTGAAAATTCCCCACTGTACCACTAGTACTGTTTCTGGAATAAAGCACATTATATATATATATATATATATAATCTTGGTATTTATTCTGTGCATTGAAGTTTCTGTAGCGATTTAGTTGATTTCCTGGGGTAGGTTCGCTAGCCCCACGCCAAACCTTAGCTTTTTTTCTGGGCTTAGAACCAGCAAACTAAGTGATTTATATGTAGGTTAATACACATGTTTAATCATAATGCGAACAGATACAACTTGAAGGTAAAGACAACCTGAATCCAACCAGAAAAAAATATTTAAACTAGTGAAGGTGATCAAGTGTATATTTATCAAATTTATGTTTTTGATTGAACACTAGTCAGTAACTAGTGTAATGTGTCTAGTCCTATCTTCGGTGCAGACTGAATTCTATCAGTAATGTTTGCAATGTGGCCACCATGCTATCAATCAAAAATATCCAATACGGTCCTACAGGTCAGTCGCGAGCCTGAATAGCTCAGTGGTAACGTCTCTGACTGTAGCACTGGGTGATGCAGGTTCGAATCTCAGAAGGGATATCAGTTCCTTCAAGATTGCAGATACGCCTTGCTGATGAGTGCCAACCAGCACGAAACCTAGGTCCAAGGCTTCCTGCCGATTGCCCCCAACTATCTAATATGAAATTTATGTGTTTGTTATGTACTAACCAGAGAAGGTTTATTCATTCAAGTAACTTCATGTTTGGCTTTAAACAGGATTAAAATCTGTCACTCATGAGGGAATGTTTATCAGAAAAATATGATAATAAGGTAACCACAAGGTAACACATTTTCGATATATAGAGCTCTTTAAATTTGTTAAAAAGTATCTAATAAATATTTCTCACAAATCTAACTAATTTTTTTTTTATTATAGCTTGATTCCACACCGTATTTTCGGTACAAGTATGGAATTTTCAGCATGTGATATCGGTAGCCCAATTTTGCAGGCTGACCATTGATATCGGGTGTGCGTCGGCAGGGGATCGAACCTGCCACCTGCCTGTGCCACCGATGCACAGCGGTGGCATCATGATCAGTACTCTATTTCTCGAGCTTATTATCTTGATGGCCAATAGTTTCAGTACACCAATAGTTATCCTTTTCACTTGCATATATCATGGTTAACATTTACGGGTCTGTCTCACAGACAGAGAGTATAAGAAACTGCCAACTGAAGGCTGATATAGTTACAGAATTTAATCATGAGCTGACATCGTTTAGAGAACCATTGGAAAACCTGCAGGAAGTACAAGACAGCTGTTTCGCCCTGGTTTGGAACTCTTCAGCAGTAAGCACTCACCAACAGGGTTCGAACCCAGGACCTTCTAGTTACAAACTCGTCCCAAACTAAGACGGAGCAGCTGTTCAGTACTTCCTGCAGGTTTTCCAATGGTTCTCTAACCGATTTCAGCTCATGGTGGAATCCTGTAACCAAGCAGTCAAATCCCTACAAACCAATACTTGAAGACTGATATATTTTCTTATAGTTCAACCATTATGTCCCTTACTAATGACTGTAGTTTTCTTCAGTAGTGTCAGTTTGTGCAAATTTCATGAGAATGTAACGAATACATTGTGGAATTTTCATAAATAAACTAAAAAAAAGTAGCAAAGAATGACTTTCGTGATAACTGTTTATATTTAAACAACCATTGAGAACATATTATCAAGATGAAAATAATCCACATAGAGAGAATTTTCACTTAACTTTTTCAATTGCTCAGATGTACAAATAAAATTATTACATATGTATGTATATCAAAAAGTATACGATGAATGTCGAAAATAGCTATGACCGAAGAAGTTCAATTGTGTATTTGTTGAATAAAAACTATTATTTATCTGTGAATCAAAAGTTCACAGAACTAACTTTGATCACATACAGTTAACAAATAACAAAAAGAGAAAACATTTCACACTAATGACAATAACAACAACGGCAACAATGATATGAAAATGAAAAGTATCATTTTCATTAAAATAGCAGATTATGAAGAGTTAGGTAAATAGCTTCTAAGATCCATAAGTGTTTAGCAACGAAGAATATATTCTTAGCTTACCTATTTCTGAACTATAATTTCGTTTCTTACTTGTGGAGAAGAAAAAAAACAACAACTGGGAACCAAATGTAGTGTAATAAGAAGAAAATATCTGCATGAAACGCACACACACACACAATTATGAACAAGATATAACTTGCAGTGTAAACATGAACTACATCTTAGCGATGGATATAAAAAGAGGTCGACTCGTGTTATTTCTTTAGAACACAGAAATATTCTGACACGTGTTAAAAATGTAAGCAAAAAAAAACAATTCAGTTATCTTTGAAACTTATGGATATTATGAAATCATAACTTCAGCTGTATTAAGTCGGAAAACTACAAAGCGTAATAAAGTTGTATGAAAATAAGGAAAAAAACAGCACGGGTAAACAAATGACAGAATTCAGTAGGAGAGAAATGCGGATAAAAACGTAACTCGATAGTAGAATGTTGAGAAATATATAAAGTAGAGTGCATTTTAATTTCTCCGCCAACCGGTTGTTATATTAGGGTTGGACCAATCAGCAACTGGGATACCTACACTCCCATATTGTTTTGCAGATGTTCGATTGAATACAGGCAGCAATTCATCTGCTTCAGCAGCATTACTTTTAAGATATACAATTGCATCAGTTCCATAACCTTCTACACTGGCCAATATAAGATCACCATTGAAATATTTTGCGTATAGACGACTAAGTGGAAGACCATAACCGTAACCTGCCATTGGAGCGTTGGTTTCTTGGCCTGATGACCAGAATTCTGTTGACGGACTCGGTACACCACGTTTACTTTGTCGAGCAGTTGTGTAGGTGTAGTTGAAAACCAAGTCAATTTCAGATCTCGGTATACCACCACCCATATCCGAAATCTAGTATGAACACAATAATACATGAATTACTATTCCTTATTTTAAATAAAAAAAACATAAACACTGAATGTTCCATTCTTACTTAATGGTGGAAGATATTGATAGAAAGCCGCAGCAGACAAAGGGCATCTCACTTGTTCATTACTCCCTAAGTGCTTCATGGCATACCTGGGATCTAGTACTCAACAATCAGCTATAAATCAGCTGAACGTTTAAAATGGATACACGGATGATATTTTGGTCATTATCGATGAATATGTTTAAATAAAATCCTCGGAGTACTTAATAATACTCACCGATCAATCGTTTCTACTCTAGAAGTTGATTCAGGAAGAGGTTACTCTCTCAAGGACAATTGGAGGATCAGTTCAAAAATCAACTTAACGCAAACCAAATTTTACGGTTTTGTTCCAATAAATCAAATTTACAATTCGCAAATCAGTTAGCGATTTGCAATGTAAACAGTTCGAGGGGTGAAATTTTCTTTAAAAACCAAATTGTTCAGATGTGTGATGTACTTGATACAATAACTGCTAGTCAAGAAAGCAAGCATATTTGAATAAAACTACACACTACTAATTGATTGAGATGAGTAGTTATCTAACACTACTGGTTGATATAAGTGGTAGACAACTATTCATGTTAATCAATCAATAGTATATCATTTTGTCCCAATAAGTACAAAAAGTAGCCTTATCCAATCTCTTCATACCAGAATCTGTCGCACATGTCCGGGAAATTCATTAAATACACAACCGGGGTCTTTCTGAAACACTGATTTAGAATGCTTATCCATTGGCATTTCTCAATAAATATATGGAAAGTAAGATCGTTAATCCACGAAAAAAGAGTATCAGAACGTTAGTTATGAATTTGAAACTTAAGTGTGAAACGACAGTTAAAATTTTACGCAGTAGATAATCAAGAGCAGTTCAAAAAACATTCTTCGTTGTATCCATAGGTTTCACCTTATCCACGCATTCTCATTTGTAAAAGTGTCAAAGATAATGCTTCATTCACCCTTGGCAACAACCATATTCACATATAAGTTCACTTTATCCTGTGAAGCTAAGTACACAGACCGTAACAGTAGGACACTGTCTAGACGTGCACACGAACATCTTCCACTGTGGATGTCAAGAGGAGAAATCAAATAAACTAATAACTCAATTCTTGATCAACTTGTTTGCACACATCACTATCTACATCTGTCTAGAGAGTAAGCTGTTTCCACACGTAAGGAAAACCCTGAACTCTGTATACAGAAAAGACTTCTCCCATCCTTCTCGCTACCGTGCCTTTAAACCTTTTAAACTCGTACAATAGTTCTTTGTGTAACCCATCTTCATTCATCTTTTTTTAATTCTAATTTTTAATACTTTATTCTGAATCCTTCAATCTTATGGTCAATTTTCACGTTTCTTAACCCTTATAGTTCTAATAACAAGTCATTCCGAACAGTATTCATCATTTAAGGTTTTGGATTATGTAGGACCGTTTAACTTTCACAAGTCATCAATTTCCCTCTCAATATAGGATTCCAATTTATTTGCTGACAGCTGGTATTAATATTTGACCTTTTAAGAAACACTTAAAAACTACTAGTTGCTACTTATTTGTGTGTTCACTGGAAAATTTCAGTTTAACAGTGTAATCTACCGTAAAATAGGCGCAGAAGCAGTTTCCCCTTTATAGTCGACATATTTAAGGCAAAATTACAAAAAACGGATCACTGGAGAGAACAACAACTAAAACCTCATTGCAATGTAAATACGCTAATGACATGTTTATGCTGACGTTATTCAGACCCTTAAAAAGGTTCACTCAGAAGCTTACTTATGAAGCAGAAAATGAAGACCCCTTGTTGTTGTTTTTTGCGCTCTGATATAAAGGAGAATATGTAGTAGCGTTAAGCGTAGCATTTTTCTTCATGAATTGACTTATATATGTCAAGTCACTTAATATTCTTGCATGTCGACAAAGTTTGATTTATAATTTGGTGTTTCAAGCTAGGTGTTTTCGCACAGTCGATACTTTGAATGGTGAAATAAGTACAGGTGGATGAGAAATGCAAAGTAGTTTATTACTGAGCAATAGAGGGTGTAACATAACTGACACAATTATTCATATGTGATTTCTAAAGATAGAAAATTACGTTACACAGTAGAAGTAAGGATATGGGATCTGACAAGGCGAAAAATGTTATTAGATGAAAGGCGAGGCAGTTGAGTGTCCACTTGACAAGTGTTAAGGTGGGTGAACAACTAAGTAAATTGTAGAAAAAGAACATGTAAGAGTGATAATAGTAAATTAATTACTAAAAATACAAACAAACGAGTAGGAAACAGTTTAAGAATAAGAAACTGAACAAACCTTTTCTGTACAGAATAATATAGACGAAATGCTAGAGCCCCGGCTTTACACAAGTGGCGAAGCCGAACACTGTGCTATACCATGTAGATAATTTGGAAAGATGACTCTAGTGGAGATAAGTGGTTTGAGTGCATCAGGTACTCGAAAATTGAGCTAGCGGTTGCATTGCATTTTCCTCTGGACAACAATGTCAGATAATGCTCAAAGACGGATTTAGAAAGTGTGCGCTTTGTGAGGCCAATATACACGACTTTATGAGAGCGAGTGAATTTCTAAACATACACTGAAGTGTCCTTTAGACATGCATGGGTCATTTGCTGACTGTAGACACTGATCCGTAGCTCAGCCGAAAAGAATGTTTCTCAGTGATATGAATAAGAGGTTCTTCAGAACCTCAGCTGCGGTATCATCTTTAAATTCAATATTCATAAATAGCAGTTTCTTCGACATCGTTCAGATTCTTCGGGCTTCTATTTTTTCTCGATGAGTCTTGTAGGATATCCATTTTAATGGGGACTTCTTTGAGTCTGTTCAGTTCATCAGCAATTGTATCAACGTTGTATATCCTCATTACTCGTGAAAATAAGGAATGTCTCAGATTTCTCTTTCTTCTCAGAGGCATCTAACTATAAAAATTGGTGAATTGACCATTGGTCACTTCATGTTGGTTTCCTACAGATTAATCTCTGTGGATAACCATCAGATTTTCTGTTTAACAAAGCGTCCAAAAAATGAAATTCATTTCGAATAAAGCAATAACAACAGTTTGTGCATAATGAGACTTGATGCTATTATTTCTTTCGATGGCTTCCCATCAGCTGCGTAAAGCCTACAGAAATTACTAAGTTTGTGCACAGAACAATTTTAACATACTTTCAGATATTATGCCCAGAAAATTTCAAAGTAAATGCTCGAATACAATGGCAAAAGAGTAACATAATAAAAACAAGACTCATCTTATTCACCTCTTGCTCTTATTAAGCAATATTTTTGTAATTGTATCCGGGCATTTATTTTTGAAATCTATGGGTACAAACTATATAAGTGTAATTCTTGAGCACTGTTAACTAAGTTTGGAGTCTCCTGTCAACTGACAGTAGTAAACATCTGCAAGTATGTTAAAATTGTTTTGTATTTAAAGTTAATAGTTTCTTTAGGTTGTATGCAGCTGATGAGAAGACAACGAAACAAATGATGGCATCAGTCTTATTCTGAAAAATGTTGCTTTTGTTTTATTCAAATTCATAAAGGGGAATAAATGTATGAAATTCATTTTGTATTCCGATGTGAACTCGACAGAATGATTTCAATTATTGAACTCCTTCGTTATCATTTCGATATTAGCATCTTTGTCACATAAGACAATGATATCATCCATGTGTCCTATAGGTAGTGGTTCGGAACAACCACGTCCAAATTACTATCCTCGTTGAATTCGCATACAAAGCAAGTAGTTTCAGTGAGATGGACACTAGTGAAGAGAGATAACACCTAGAGATATTATTCTCTTCGCGAATACATTAACATCATTTTAAATTACCGAATTCAAATGAATCTGATACAATATGATGATTGAGATTATTTCTGACAGATGGAAGAATGTCTGCAAGCCATCTAGCACTTTCGGGAGACCATATAAGCGAGGAACTGCAAAACCTTAGCATAATAGTTGCTCAGACGATTCGAAGCTTAATGATATTCATTCCTCATATTCAGAGATTCTCTTACCTTTTCTTCAATCTGTTCGCTTTAGTCTTTTCGGATGATTTGTTTTGAAAATTTGTTTTCATGAGATATTATGGATAGTATTTTATCGACATAATGTTGGCCATTCATGAAGACGATGCCAGCACCCTTATCTCGGCGAGGCAGTACTCTTTATTTCTTACATAGTTGTTCTCTGTGCTCAGGTGAAATCAATCGTTCAGCATTTGGTTTCGTATTAACATACTGGTGACAGCTGTTCAACACGACTTAAACTGTTCAAATGTTTCATTTGACACTGAAAGAAGACCACTTGTCTAACATATCAGTCCTATAAGCTGAACTTTCGGACTGAACGACAACGCTTGTATTTGAATAGGAGTTAATGGAATATTGGAGTAATTGAAAACATATTTCTCTGGTGTAGCAAGTAAACGTTTTACGACTATTCGCCAGTTTGAGATTTGTACCCTCACATCCTCTTTTTGAAATTGAATCGGCGAAGTTCATAAAATCTCTCTGCTCCTTTTCTGACAATTCGAATAGCGCATTTGCTTTTAGTGAAATTTTTTCTCTGGTAATCAAGATTTTATTTCACCGATTACATTCAAAATATGACGTTTCAAAAAATGATGATTTAGGTGAATGTGATTTCGACGCAGACATTTCATGTAAGATTTGAGATATTCTTTCTTATCTATACAACTCTTCAGAAAATTGTTTATCGTAAGAGATATATCAAGTTCTTTCACTGTCACAGGGTTCTTGTTCCATTTCAAAAGATCAAGGATACAGCATACTCAATGGCACTACTTTACGTTTTGACGTAAATATAAATACGACTGTGCAACCTTTGAAGATGACTTCATCGAAGGAGAAAATTTTCTTCGATGAATTTTTTTTCACTTTCTTCATGACCCAAT